TTTTACCTTTAGATTCAAAGCATAATGTTTTAGTCAATTACATAATTTTGTTCTGATATCTCTTGTAACTGGATACTTGTATCCTCCTTCTGAGTCTCTCTCATTCTATCTTCATCTTGGAAAAGACAATTTAATAGCTATTAGGCAAATATGTTACTGAACAACATCCTCTACAGATAGGTAGATATAGATAGATGCACATATATACAACATGATAAATTATATACATTATTTAATGATACATATTATCTAGCATATGGTAATGATATTAGATGTCATCTATCACTATATTATTTAAATATAACTGAGTTATTTAAATATAACTCAGTATTTTAAGATTAAAAATAAATATTATACGTATTTTAGCCTGTGAGTATGTGATCAAGACAATTAAAATGGCTTTTATATTTGATTGTCCAAATTTATTATCTTCATCTCAAGAAAGTAAAAAGTGTATATGTTTTTATGTTGAACATAGGTTACTGTTTTATTAATACTGGATCATTGTCCTCCAGTTTTATATAGATTTAATAATAGAATATTAAGCTGGGTAGTATTAACACAATGGAGTTGTTTTGCACATGCTCAGTTCTATTCACCTTCAAAATTACACAACTTAACTATACGCAATTAGCCATAAAAATAAATGGGATGTTTATAGATATATAAAAGAATAATTTGACAATTTAAAGAATTGATTCATCACTAAGAAGATACATTTTAAAATTTTCTATATCCTTTCTTACCTTAACCCAAAATGGCCAATAACCAAACTCTTCTGAAGTATAGCAATACTTTATTCATCCAGGAACTGATTTCATATTTTTCAAACAATAAAGTTTTTTACCATGAATTTGGTCACCACTTAAAAATTTCTTTTACTGTTTAGAATTTTAATTATTCCCCATTGTGTTTATCTTCAATACTTGGATTTATATTTTAAGAATTGGTAGGTGGAAATGAGAAATTGCTAAATTATATAAATATGTAGAGAGGACCTAACATGATATTTTGAGGATAGACAAAACAATGGAACACTCCTATTGTTTAAACTACCAAAGAAGGAAAATCCTATAGGTGGTGGTCATGGTATGGGGGCTAGGATTGGGATGAAGTGCTTTAATATCGTTAATTCTTAAAATACATATCACAGAACCTCTGCAGTATTATGTAATTTGTTTACTAAGAATATTGTTTATTTAACTCCTTAATATATCTATCCAAATTAATGTTCCTATTAATATTTTCAAGAACAATGAGATTCTTTTTTCTGTATCTTAAGAATTAACTCATTAAATACATCTTTAGGTATAATTCTGACTTTGGAAACTGTTAGTGTTCATACACAGACACACACACAGATAGACACACACACACACACAGATACACACACAAATAAAACAAATAAAAGAGTGGCAATGCAAAATAGAACTCAAACAGAAACAAATGAACCAAACCATATTTCAAATAAATTGCATAACCACTGTGAAAATCATGTAGGAGTATTAAACCAAGTGATTTTTAATCAGCATTTGGATAGTATATCCTCAGGCTAAGGGGAAAAAAAAAACCAGAACTCTAAAAATATTGAACCTTATAGTTAATATAGAGTCATAGTTAGAAATTCTGAAACTACTTTTTGGGTATTCAAAGATTGAGTGATTATGTAAATACATTGTGGGTAATTGGAGCTTGGTTTCTCATTATGGAGATAGATGGAAATTATAAATATAGACCAGGAGAAGAATAGAATAAGCCTCTGCTGTTGGATTGGAATGGGAAGTGTCAGTATAAGCTCATGTATTTATACAGAAACACATACTGGTACATATTCAGATACAAATGTGTGTAGACATAATTATAGATACATATAGTTTTTGAATACAGATTGATCTGGGGGCCCTGGATGGATCAGTTGGTTGAGTGTCTGACTTTGGATCAGGTCATGATCTTGGTTCGTGAGTTCAAGTCACACATCAGACTCTGTGCTGACAGATCAGAGCCTGGAGCCTTGAGCCTGCTTCAGGCCCTCGTTCTCTGACCCTCCCCCACTCATTCCCTAGCTCTCTCTCTCAAAAATAAGTAAACATTGAAAAAAGTTATAGTTTGATCTAGAAATAGATACAGAAGTATCTCTGTATGTACACATGTATGTATATACATAGCAATGATTTTCTAGTGTCTATGAACTCAACTGATGCTCAAGTACATTTTATTCTTTGATGAAAACAACTATTACTCCTTGGGAAAAAGCATGATTCAAGAGCCAGAGCAGCAAAAATTCAGGATAAATATGGAATATCTTTCTGGAAAGTAATAAAAAAAAATCTTACTTGCATATTATTTGCCAAAAGTGTATAACTGGAATCTAAAAGTGAGGAAACACTAGAAAATCCAAATGTGTGTGTATGTATGTAGGACATTAAACTAATTTAAGATAGTAACATGTTAGGAATCTAGATTAAAAAATATATTAATCCTTTGACTCAAGATTTCTTTATGTCTGAAATTCTTAGTTTTAAAAAGGTATTAAAACTTGTGTTAGAGAAAAAGAGAACATTTAATATTAACAAAAGTTCAGTACACATAAATACACATATTAAAAATTAATCTACTGAAAAAAAAATTTTTAATGTTTATTTTCAAGAGAGAGAAAAAGAAGAACACGGGCTCGAGAGGGGCCCAGAGAGGGGGAGACATGGAATCTGAAACAGGCTTCAGGCTGTGAGCTGTCAGTCCAGAGCCTGACGCAGAGCTTGAACCCACAAAACGTGAGATCATGACCTGAGCCAAAGTCAGACACTCAACCGAGACACCCAGGCACCTCTAAAAATTTAATCTACATTTTCTATGGTGGGAGCAACCATCTGTCTTTATCTGCATTCTGACCAGTAATTGAAGTTCATCAATTATTTTGAACTCCTATTTTTCTTGCAATATCTTATTAAGTGAAGGCAACAGTAACTATTATATGCTGCTATGAACTAGATTGCCAGCCTTTTCCCTAGAGCTACAGACTTTATAGTATAGGGTCTATTTCACATGTAACATAAGGCAACATTTGTATGCAAAAAATTGCTATTACATATAATGGATTACTATCTTTCCAACACCAGGCAATTAGTCCCGTGCTGTTAGCCGGTGTTAAGATAATGCCACGTACTTTATAATTTGTTTTATCAATAGCCCATCACTGATCATATATATGCCAGTCTGAATAGGCTAGGTTATATAGTAGTAACAGAGGACTCCAACAGTTTTAGTGGTTTAAAAAAGCAAAAGTTTAATTTTGATGGAAAAACAGAACTACCAGTCTTTTTCTGATTAGTGCAATTTTTCCTTAGAATATTTATCATATCTCCATAGTGCTCTAATAGCTTTGTGTGTATCAGTCAGTACACTTCACTGAAATCAATGGTCCTCATTGAGTGCTATTCCTTATTGCATTAAAAATAATGAAGTTTTGGAAAAAGTACAGTTACTGTTCCTTATTTACATTATGACAGAAATGTATGGTTAAATGTTAATGATTTTGATTAACTTAAAATTGAACATTATTTAATGTAATATTTGATTATACAGAAGATGAGCAGAAGTTTTCTAGTTGAGTGGATTCTAAAATGGTTATATTCATGCATATAAATCAATCATTAATGTGTACAAATACAATGAATACGATTGATTTTTTTCTCATGATAAACACCCTTTTCTTTACCTTAGGAAGCAAAGCTAGTGAAGCATTTATAAATATCCACATAAATCACAATATATCTTAATAATATAACTCATGAGATTTTTATACATGAAATCATTCTAGATATTGCTAATAATTATGTTGCTTATTTTTAAATTATTATTTACATTGAGGTTTGATATATTACAAATATTATCTTCCAATAATGAATTAGTATGCTATGACTGCCATAAAAAATACCACAGGAAACAACACAAAGTTGTTTCATCACAGTACTGAAGTCTAGATCCAGAAGTCCAAGATCCATATGTGGGCAGGATTGGCTTCATTCTGAGGGCCTCTCTTCTTAGCTTGGAGATCTTCTTCTTCCAGTGTTTTCACTTGATCTTTCTCCTGTGTATGTCTGTGTCTTAATCTCTTCCTCTTATAGATACTAGTCATATTGGATTAGGGCTGACCCTAATGACTTCTTTTTAATTTAATTACCTCTTTAAAGGACTTATCTCCAAATACAGTCACACCTTCAGGCCCTGGGGATCAGAACCTGATCATATCAATTCAGGCCTTAACAAGTTGCCTGAGTTACTAGGTTTTGCTATTTTAACTAAAATGTATATTAATAAAGGAAGGCAAAGTTATATTGGGATTTTCCCACTGTTAAACAGGTGCTACATATAAGAAATGTTCACTGCTTTATTGTTACAATCTGATATAGGGATTTGTTGTAGGAAAAGATGGACTAAAGGACATTTATTTTGTCTACCAAGCCCTCCATTTCTCTCTCTGTCTTAGGGGAATACATAGGTGATTTGTATGCTGCTCACTCATATTTTTTTTTTTGTGGGGGGGGGAAATCTGTCCATATTAATAGCTGTTCCACTGGTTTAAGGAGTAAGCACATAACAAAAGTGTATCCTAGTCCCTCTGATATATTAAATGGTACAGTTCTGGGACTCATTTTGTAACATAGAAAAAGAAACAAAACAATCAGAAACTTCCCTAGGCATTAGGGCAGTGGTAGAGAAGGACCTTTTCATCTTTTATTTGTAGAGCTGTGAATTGTGATTTCAGAATTTGTAACTACCATGTCTGTCCCAGTTTGGGTTACCTGGAAGAAGACTTTGAGATAGAAAGTACCATAAAAAGAGATGTGTTAGTTTTGCTGTGGTTGTTGTTTTAGGGCCACAAACCATTTAGCTGAAAACAACAGAAATGTATTCTCTCAAAGGACAGAGGTTTGAAATCTAGCTGGTAGGGCTGTGTCCCCTCCAGAGTTCCCAGCTATACGGGAGTAAACATTCCTTACCTCTTCAGCTTTTCATGGGTGTTGGCATTATGGCTGCATCTCTCTGCTCCATCTTCATTATCTTCTCTGTGATCTGCTTCTGTCAGAGTCCCTCCACTTCTTTTCCCTCAGCTCTATTGAGATATAAATGACATATAACATTGTGTAAGTTTAAGGTGTACAACATATTTATTTGGTATGTGTATATGTTACCAAAAAATTACCACAGTAAGGTTAGTTAACAAACACCTCACAATTACTCTGTTGTTTTCACCAATTTTTACAAGGATACATGGGGTAGGATGTAGAGCCCTCATAGATAATCTAGGATAAACTCCTCCTCTCAAGATCTTTAACTTAATTATTGCTTTTGGCATAGAAAGTAATATCAACTCTTTACACATAGGGTAATATTTATAGTATCTAGTGATTAGGAGTGAATATATCTTGGGGAGGGCACTTTTTAGTCTAACAAAATATATTAGCAAACATGTGAATAAAAGAAGGAAGTAGGATTAGGCAGAGAGAAAGATTGGGCAGTCTGTCATCTCAGTGAAGACCTCAGTCAAACCCACAGGGACATCTGAACATAGAATAGTCTTCCAGGGTTGTTCTAAGGTGAGGTAAAGAGGCCATGGCCATTTAACCTTGTCAGGTAGTTACCAAATGGAACTTTCTCTGGGAAGTACATTAGGTGAGTGATTCATTCCAGTTTAGGCAATTCTCCATGTTGGCTGAGGTCTATTGGTCAATAGAATTCTCACTAATAATCTCTTTAATTTTTGAATAATTAGAATAATTAGAATAGAATAATCTCTTTATTTTTTAAGAGGAAAATGTTAACAGTATTTCACCAGTAAAATAGTGGAGAAATGTGTCTGAAAGCCAGAGAGACTGTGAGAAAGACAGATTTGTCAATCTCTAGGTCCAAACTCATCCAAACTAATCTGGATCCTTGAAACTCTTCCTTTGATTCTGAAAGCAATTTAAATTTTCTTGGTACAAAAGTTTGCTTAGGGTACACATAAAATGTGTTTACTTCATATGCATATAAAGAGTAAAAAATACAATGCATAATGCATATGTACAAAAAATGTATATTACAAAGATAAGTAATATGAACTTCAGGAAATATGTAACAAGTTTCATTAATACAGACATCAGGATATTTCTGGAGACAGTGTTTCAGTTACTGCTTGAAATCTTCCACTTGATAACATTTTCTTGTTATGATTACTGATAATAAACTTCCTCAAGGATACCACTATAGATTGATGCTACTCCAACAATTTTCCCTGTGTAGTAGGCGTCATTGTCTTATGAGTGCTTGTTGCAAATCTAAATTCTTTATCTCCAGCTAACTACTTCTGTATCAGAATCTTGGGTGAAGGCCAGGAATCAGTGCTTTAATAAACCCTTTAGTTTACTTTCACCAACAGTCAGTATATCAGGATTTTTTGTTTTTTGTGGGTTTTTTTTTGACATTTAAAAAGCATGTGGTAGTATCAAATCATGGTTTAATTTGAATTTCTCTAATGATTAATTATGAATTCTCCTATGTTATTATTAAAAATTGTTGCCACTTTTAATTGGGTGTTTTCTTATTATTGAGTTTGGATTTATCAACATATTCTAGGATCAAGTCATTTATCAGATATATGATTTTCACATATTTTCTCTGAGTCTCTGGCTTTTCTTTTTTGTTTCTTAACACTGTACTTTAAAGAACAAGAGGTTTTCAATTTTGATAAGGTTGTTAATTTTTCTTTTATGTATTATGCCTTTGGTGTCATATCGAAGAATTTTATAAAGGTAAGGTCAAAAAGATTTCCTCCTACATTTTCTTCTGAAAGTTATAAAGGTTTACACATAAATTTCTGATCAATTTTGAGTTACTTTTTGTCTATAGTAAGAAGCATTGAGTATGGCTGATTTTTTAGGACATGGTTAATTCATTTTTCACAAATATTATATTCTAAAATCACTTCTGAATTGCTATTGCACATTGTCTCAAATCAATTGGCCACATATAAGTGGGTCTACTTATGGAAACCCTATTCCTTTTTAAAATGTAAAGAAACATTTTTACCTCACAAGTAGTACAAAAATAGATCATGATATAAATTAGGCCTTCTGAACACAGTATAACCTGCAAATAAGAATTGTGTATATTTAAGTTGTAATGTTGATGTTGATTTTTTGATTTACATATATATTGTGATGTAATCACCACAGTCAAGTTAATTAACATATCTATCATCTCGCATAGTTATTCTTTCTTTTTGGGGGAGTAAGTAGATGAGAACACTTAAGATCTACAACTTAGCAAATTTCAAGTATACGATACAGTATTGTTAATTAAAGTGACATTACTGTATCTTGTTTTTTTTTGCAAAAGGCAAGGTTTTCTCCTTTTTCAACCTGAATACTATTCAGGTGTGTGTGTGTGGGTGTGCACGCGTGCGACATCTATTAACGGGCATTTAAATTTGTTTCCATATCTTGGCTACTGTCAGTATTGCTGCGGTGAACATAGGAGCACAGATGTATCTTCAAGATACTGATTTAATTTATTTTGCCTATCAACCCAGAGTTAGGATTGCTGGATCATGTAGTAGTTCTATTTTTTGAGGAAACTCTATACTGCTTTCTACAATGGCTGTACCAGTTGACATTCTCATCATTTGTGTACAACGGTGTATTTTCTCCACATCTAAAATGCTGTATTTTTCTGCATCTATTTAGATGATCATGTGGATTTTTTCTTTCATTTTTAAAATGTAGTATGTCACATTGATTGATTTGTGTTTGTTGAATAATCTTTATATCCTTAGGATAACTATTTGTTCATGGTGTCTGATCTGTTCAAAGTGCTGTTGAATTTGGATTTTTGTCTCAGTGTGCGTCAGGGATATTGGCCTGTAGTTTGCTTTCCTTGTGTTGTCTTTTCCTGGTTTTGGTATAAGAGTGATCTGGCCTCATAAAATGAGTTTGGAAGTGTTCCGCTTTTTTTTTTTTTTGTTATTTGGAAAATGTTAAAACAGATTGGTATTAATTCTTTGAATGTTCAGTAAAATTCACCTGTGATGCCACCTGGTTCTGAACTTTCTTTGTTGGGGGCTTTTTGATTATCAATTCAGTGTTACTGTTTGTTGTGGGTCTGTTCAGGCCTTTCAGTTTCTTCTTAATTCAGTGTTGGTAGATTACATGTTTCTAGGAATTTATGCATTACATCTTGGTTATCTAATTAGTTGGCTAAATAATAGCTCATAATGGTCCTATATGTACTCTTTCATTTTTGAATCTTCTATTAATATTTTTAATTTCTATTTTATCTATTTGAGTCTTCTCTCTATTCTTCTTAGTCCATCTAAGGGCTTATTGATTTTTTTTCAAAAATCCAACCCTCAGTGTTGTTAATTTTTAATATTGTCAATATTGTTTTTAATTTTGTTTTTCTATTCTTTATTTATTTTCTAATATTTATTTCCTCCCTCTGCTAACTTTGGGCTTAGTTTGTTCTTTTTCTAATCCCTTGAGATGTAAAGTCAGGTGAGGATTTGTGAATGTTTATATGCACAGTTTCAGATATATCTCTGTAAATATTAAAAACAACCTCTGAAGTCTGTTTTATTCATGTCCTTTTATTAAACATAAGTATGCTAATATCCTTTTTCTCCTAATAGTACAAATTTAGTCTGACTAACTTTCCTTTTTATTAAAATATGACCCCATCTTCTATTTAAATTCTCCTGACCATTTGACCACATTATTTTCACCACAGTCCTCAAATTGTTAACCTTCCTTCATGATGCATTGAAGAGAAACAGGAATAGAATGTTAAAGTTTCTAACCCTCTATTTTAGAAAATACATTGATAATATGATTGAACTGCCTAGAAATAATATATATTTATCATGGTACTTAACTTGTTTTTATCTCTTGAAAGAAGGTATATTTTTCCTGTCAGAATCACACATTACATATGTCAAGCCATTGATAGAATTTAAAAAATCACTGTTACTAAAAATAAGTAGAAGTATTTTCTTTTGAAGAAGAAAATTTCATGATAAATTTGAACAAATAATGCAAACAGAAAAAGTCATTCACTTTTCTCTTTTTTATAACCTATAATTAAGTGATGTGAACTCTGGATAATCAATTGATTGGGAGACTACTATAATCATCGTGCCTCAGCTTTCTTCCTCCTACACGAATAATTAATACTCTTGAAACAAAAGCAGGACACTGCAATGATAATTTCAAATATTCTCTTATTGTTAAGGTATCTAGTATAGCGTAAAATGATGAACAAAGCATGTAATTGAATTCGATTTTTTTTTGTACAGAAGCAGGTATTTAAGTTTGCAACTAAAAGAGAAATTTCTCATATCATTCACATACAAAATGCTGATTTTTCCTTTAAAATTGAGCTTTTCTGTATAACATTAAATATTGGCAGTTGTTATTCTTTTAATATTTATATTGACACATATAGTTAGGTTGTCAACCTTCTACATTTGAGTATAATTTGGCTGTATTTTGCCTTAATTCAATAATTCAGACAACTTCAAATAATTTTATATGAGGATTAAGTTAAATTTTTTAAATGCTGAGCTATTAAGGCCAAATTCACATTCATTCAGAAACGGCAGTCCCTGGTCCCACAAAAAATATGTTCTCTGCATAAAGGCAAGACACAGTGATATGTGTACATATTTTCAAAATTCATGGTGATTACTGGAAGAATAATTTTAATTCTATTTTAAGGAAAATGAGCAAGAAAACAATTTTTAAAGAGTGTGTGCATAACAGTGACCAATTATGAAAAATTATATGTTGCTATAATAAAAAATATAGTTCAGTGAAGATATTTTTCCCCTTTAGTATTTTATTTTTCCACATTACACAGAGATAGCAGGTAATTTTCTATTACTTTTTCTCAATAGAGAGTTGTATATTTAGCACCAATGTAAAAGTTTTTAAGACTAAAGAAGTCTTATTGAAAAGACTAAGTTTAGTGTGTGTCAAAGGGGTAGAGAAGAATGTGAGGTATAAGAAGAGACTAAACTGCTTAAAAGAGAAATTGATGGTTGAATGCATGAGAGATAGGAAGACTAGATGCAAGTCTCAT